TTGTAAAAATCCACTTAATGAATCATTCAGGGATAGGACAGAATGATCTCTTATTAGTCATTTGATTTTCAGTAAGAAACGTATTCAGATTCAAGGCAAATGCAGGAAGATTAGATTACATCAGTTTAGATTTTTTAGCAATGTTTTAAACTTTCAGTTCCTTCCTTCAGTAAAATAACAGTATTAAAGGTAAGAACACAAAATAGAAGGACTCGAAAGAATAAATGCTAAGCTTCCTGTGTATGTACAATGTTTCAACTTCTCAGACACTTATTATTAAAGAGCTGATGCTACATATCCACAAAGACTAATACTCTCAAAAATGAATATTAAATAGTGCCAGCCACAAGGCAAAACACTTTGGTCGCATAGCATGCATTGCTTTGTTGAAAATTGTTAAATGAATGACACATTTCGAAATATTATAAAAACAATCAGAATATCATTTGAACTGCCCTTCAAGGCCCTGCCTCACCCTCTTTTCTTTCATTTGTTTCCCATGATCAGCCACATGGGACCTGGGACTGTGTGAAGAGGCTTTTATGTGCAAGATCATCATCGATTTTCCCATTTCTGATGGGGTTTTACAGAAGAGAACCATGCCCTGGGAGGGTAGTAACCTGCTTCAAAGTTATGGCGCCAGGTCTTACATGAGCTGGAGAGAAGGTGGGAAAAGCTTTTTAAGTCCAGGCCCAGGCATGTGTACTACACGTACGACTGTGCTTCCAAGGAAGGCACCAGACGTTCAAGGGTTTGGATCCACAGTAACTCCTCTTATTTTGCGTGTTGGAGTTGCCTGCCTGAGAGACCACCATCAAAGTAGCACCAAAGCACTCGTGCATGCGCGCACGAAACAAATCTTCCTCTGTGACGCTGTATCTGACACTTCTCTTCTGTGCCTCAGAGCCAAGCTTCGTGTCTAGAGTGTTCACACACTGCCACATCCTCTTCCCCTACTCATTCCCAGTGTTTCACATGGGTTCCGGCCCTCCTCCTCCTTCGCCACCACGTACTCAGGGGCTGGTCACTGCTAAAGCAGAGATGCCACCGCCGTACTAGCTTTATGACCCTGTGGTAGGGTTGACATGTGACATTCAGTAGGCTGTTCTAAAACCTCCCTCCAGCTCCTGGGCTTTTCTGAGGAACCACCTTTTCCTGTACTTCCCCCCGGGACCCCCCAAGCCAACTCCTAGTTCCTGTTTCTGTTCCTCGATGGCTTAGTGTTTTTTCCGTGCAAACAACTTGTGGCAATTCACTAGAGGGAAAACCAATCTTTCAATCAACCTTTTGAATCCTTTCTAGAGTTTAAGGCAAGGATGTCAAGTGGCAAAAGGACACTTGGTCCTCTGTGCTTTTTTCAGAAAGCCATAGTCTCATCCCTGGGTGATTCTTAATTTGACCTCTAACTACGCATACACCTTGATGACTACCTTGCATTGGTTGCTTTGAATTCACTATAGTCTTGGCTCTCTATTCAGTGATTTACCCCAAGTTGCCTTTTGCCTTCTACAAATTCCTTGTTTTGACTCTTACATGTCTGGCCTTGGCTCCAACATGCTCCTTGGTCAGTGTGTTATTTTTCTAGCATCTAACATGGGTTGATACATTACATTCACAGTGGACAAATGAAGTTAACATTAAAATCTTTTTTAATTGACATAGCAAGAAAATGCACTGAAGAAAAGGACGGAGTGCTATGTGACAAATGAGGTGGTTAGAGAATCTCTCTGGGGGAAATTGCCATTCAATAACCAAAGGTAGAACGAGCTGCGGGGAGACCAATTCCAGTCAGTAACAGCAGCATGCCAAAGATCAGGCAGGAGAAGCGAAGGAAGGCCATTGCAAGGATGCCAGTATGAGGTGGAGCTTATGACATCAACAGCTGCTGTGTGGAATGCTTGGTGAGGAGCTTGGGAGAGACCAGACAGGTGACCCTGCTGTACCAGGCTCTAAGAGATGATGGTGGCCTGATTAAGTGAGATTAGGACGATGATGGATAGAGAAAGAAGTTCAAGGATATCTTATTTAGAAGATCAACTTGCTTTTCGAGTTAACTCGAGATGAAAGTGAGGCAGAGGGGCATTTCAAGAATAATCTTAGGATTCTGGCTGAGCACTGAGTGAGCTGGTGGTGAGGATGGAGAAAGAGACATGGGTATTTGTGCAGGAAGACGAGCACACAAAAAACTCTAATGTAAAGTCGGGATGCCTTGAGAGACGTCCAAGTGGATAAGGATGTACAAGTAGACAATGAATTTATTAGTTGGATGGCGTAGGGGAAGGAGAGGTCTGCACAGAAAGGTGAATTTGGGAGTGTCACTCTTATAGACTAGTATTTAGGAGTTATGGAATTGGGTGAGCTATTCCTAGGAGGGAGAACAGAGAGAGGATGAAGGCCTGGGATCAGACCAAGGAGTCTGGCAGAAGAGGATTGCTATGATATTGGAGCATGAGGAGAGGGACAGCAGGCCATGTCCCTCCCTTGAGCATGGACTCTATCCCCCATCCCATTTCCTGTTCTTCTCCTGGGTTCCTACCCAATGAACCACCTATATTAGTTGGCCAATTAATTTCTTTCTATTTATAGTAGAGATGGGGTCTCGCTCTTGCTCAGGCTGGTTTTGAACTCCTGACCTCGAGCAATCTGCCCGTCTCAGCCTCCCAGAGAGCTAGGACTGCAGGCGTGAGCCACCGCGCCCAGCCCACCTTCCAATTCTTGCAATCACCTTCGGGAATGCTATGAACATTCACCCAATCTTCTTACTAAAAACCACTGCCCTAGCTGCTTCCTTGGCCCTTGAGGAGCTATTAATAAACCTGTTGGAACGAAGAGTCAGAAACACGCCGGGCACTTTGTTTAGTGGGATGAGGCAGCTGGCTTTCCTAGTCTGCAACAGTCGCTGACAGTTATCGGGCACCTGCTACGGGTCAGGCGCTGTCCTACGGCTTTCATGTGGCCGTGCTGTGACGTGTGTCTGAAACACAGCATCCTGTCTTCAAGTACCTGGGAAGTGGACTTCACAACTGTTCAAAATCACTTCCGTCCCTTCCCTCTTTTTATGGCTATCACAATGTCCCCCAGGATGCTTCAGCCTCAAGTTCAAGGATTTCCATAAAGACATTTATCTTTTTGACTATTATAAGCACTGTTCTGCCTTTGTACACATTATAATCTGGTTCTTTTGAATAGGTTGTCTTCTTTTACTGATGTATCCTAATTTTAAGTCACATACATATATATACAGTGTGACTAACAGGGGCTGCCAATGACATGGGCCTGCTGGCTTACGTTTAAGATTACATGGATTTGTTAGTTTTAAGTCCTTAAGATGAGACAACATGAATGTAATATCTTTGTTTTTTATTTTCTATTTCCAAAATTTTTGCAAACAAGGTTTAGATGTCAATGAAAAAAGCCACACAAATTATATTTATATACTTTATTTCTTGCACTTTTGACAGCTATAGTATGTTTCTGACAGTTGTAAAGGTTTTTTTTTTTTACCTACTCTAGAAAGGCACCTACTTAGAAAGGCACCTACTGGTGCCCACTCCGCAAGCTACAATAGGCATTCTGCCATCTAGTAGATATACAGTGAGGAGGGTCTTTGCTATAAACAGGTTCACTTTATTATTTAAATATACTCAAAGCATAAATATATAAAAACCCAAGTCTTTCGCTTCTTCTTGCCAAATGTTTCTTGATATCGGATACCATCTTTTTTTTGGAGACAAAGTCTTGCCTGGGCTAGAGTTCAATGGTGTCATCACAGCTCACTACTACAACCTCAAATTCCCGGACTCAAACAATCCTCCGCCCGCCTCGGCCTCCCAGAATGCTAGGATTACAGGTGTGAGCCACTGCGCCCGGCCTGCCTGGCTAATTTTTAAATTTTTTGTAGAGACAGGGTCTCTCACTATGTTGCTCAGGCTAGTCTTCAACTCCTGACCTCAGCCTCCCAAAGTGCTAGGATTATAGGCATAAGCCACTGCACCTGGCCGGATATCATCTATTTTTCTTGAACTTCCCATGCTGGCCTTTTAACTCAGTATTCTATCTTATAGGCAAAGAAACACAAACATTGCTTCCACTTTCTTCTGTTTAAACCCCTGTCACCAGTGCTGGGCAAGCAGCCTGCCTGGGAACCACAGCTGCTTTCCCACTCACTCCTGAAGGACATTATTGCAGAGTGTTAACTTCCAGGCCAGGTGCTCATACTCTGTTTGTCAAAGCTGTCTGGATGGCAGACTATTCGCCTCTCTCAATTTCTCCACTCCCAAACCCTAAGTCTTCAATAAGAAGTAAAGAAAACACCAGTTACCCTCTAAACCAGTTTTAAGTCCTTTCAATTCTATCTCAAATCCAACAACCTTTCTCTCAGTCTCAATCTCCACCACCTTCTTAGGCCCAGGCACCATCCTCTTCCATTCACATCACGACACCATCTTCCCACTGGCCCACCCAGTTCTACTCTTGTCCTGCTTCCTGGATTCTGCACAGGGCAGCCAGGTGGGCTTGAAAACATAGATCCGCCTTCACTGTCCTCCCCCTGCACTTCTAAGCCCTGCCCAGGGCCCATTTCTCAGGCCTCTCTCTCACCTTGCTCCTTCTCACTCACTGTGCACCAGCCACCCTGGACTACTTCACCTTTTCAAATGACACCAGACTCTTGCCAGGCTGCTGCTATAGGTCCCTCACTGGAAAGCTCTCTCCTCCATTCCCAGGGCCAGCCTTCTCACCCTTGACATTATAGCTCGGAGAAGCTGAAGCAGGGCCCAAGCAGGGCCCCCTACCCCTCTGTCCTGGCCCCTTGTGAGTCTCCTACTGTGGCACCCCATTACTTGGAGTGTTCATGTGTTTACTTGGCTCTCTCTCCCACCAGAAGTCATTTCCATAAGCGCAGGGACACGCCTCATGCGCTCATGCATCCCTAGCACAAAACACAACGCTCTGCACAAACACATCCTTCGCGAACGTTTAACTGGTAAACACCCACTTACTTTCTGGCGAGGTAACCTCTGCAAACAGCCTGGAAGAAGATAATGATATCCGTGATTTTTAAATCTCTTTCTTCCTCCAAATGTGCCAAAACTCCAGCTCTGAAAAATATCTTGCTCTGTCCGATTCTATACAAGTTTGGGTCCAATTCTAAAGCCCGGATCTAGGAGAGAAAGAGTCCGTTTTTCTTTTTTGCTATAGGAAAGATTATATTTGTAGTCTACAAACCATAAAAATCAAGAAAAGCTTACCATTCGTTCACAGGCCTGTTTGCCATCCATAAAACCTTTAGGAATAGCATTTGGAGTTAGGATCTCGTATCTGTAGAAAAAGATTCCAAAGTCTTTTGTAGAAATTTGTGAACAGGTTTACCTACTAATGGAGTTTTGCTCTAAGAGGCAATACATGATAGGCAATACATACTACAGAGCAAAGAAATGAATAGGTGATCACCTGAGGTTTTCTGCAGATCTAATTTCTATCTCTTATAATAAGAATCAAAGGGAAAATGAGGCTAATTCTTTCAGGTCAAAGACTAGGTTGGGAGGTTGCGGCGGGGAAGAATCAAAAGCATGGTGTTTTAAAAACCTTTCATTTTTCTTCATTTCCCACAAAATGTTCACATCTGTAAGCTGGCTTTTTGTATGTTAAGTCACTGTCAATTTGCAGGCATTTATTAGATAACAGGAAAGGCTGTCAGAGCAAGCTTGTATTTAGAACATTCAAAAATATCAGGGTGACATTCAAAATGGCATTGGTCTGGGTGTTCACTGAGCTGTACACTTAAAATTTGTGCACCTCATTGTATATAGGTTACACCTCAATTAGAACAATTTTGTTTTTAGCAAAAAGACACTGGCTACATTAAAGGATGAATACTGGCTATATCAATGATATCCTGGATGCCAATTATGCCCCTTTCCTCCTACCAATAAAGAGTGGAAATCTACCAGATTGTTTATCGTACAGTGGGGCCAGAATGATGGCTTTGCTAGGCACGTGGGGACTAGAAGAACTCCTTGAGTTGATTCTGTCTGAACAGTGGGAAAAAGGGCATAGGGCCATTCTTTGACCTGGCAGCTTAATTTATTTCACTGAATCTGAAATTTATTTCATAAAATCTGAAATCTGATTTCCAGAAGAAAGAAGGGAAAAAAAGCAAACTTATTTAACCATTAAAAAAAAAATTACTGGGAAAAATTCTAAGATAACTATTTCCCATCATATGTTCATATCCATTTCTATTGTACATTGATCTTTTCCCTTTTCTCTTAGTCCTTTTCTAATCTATCCTATTCCCTTTTCTATTTTAGCTAAAGGACTTTAATTGCATGCATGTGTTTGTGCATATGAACATATATATTGGAAAAAATACATATAACACACACAGATATGTTAATTGAAACAAGATGGAAAGAAATATCACACTATATTTTCAAGAAGCACTCATGAATGATTTTTATTTACTTTTTACTTCTCTTGAACATGTATTACTCACCTATGTAAGAAAAATCACTTTTAAAAATAATTATGTTTGAATCTAGGTAGAACTGTCTGAATGAGTAAGCTCTAAGTTTTCTGCTTTCTATGTTGATCTCACAGCTAACTCCAGGGCCCTGAAGACAGGAAGTTTCTTTGCAGCACCCACAGCAGTTGCTAGTGCACTACCTTTGTATACAGTAGGTATCCAATCTTCCTACCAATAATCATGGTAACGACTGTCCCTTTGCTATTTAGGAAAACTGAAACTATCCAGGGAACAAGGAAAAATATTTCCTCATTATATCACTGTTTTCATTCATATTAAGATGAGCTGTGATACATATGCAAAAAAGGTACAAGTTAGCAATACCTCTGTCTGAATTCCTGGAAGACTATCCGGTTAGGGAACCCTTGGCGACAGATTCTGATCCCTTCCAGGACGCCATTACAGCGAAGCTGATCTAGCACCAGATGTGGATCCAGTTTTCCAGCCTAATCAAGCAAATAACGGTTTTATACTTTAATCTTTGTAACCTGACCCAGAGCAATTTTAAACACTATTGTTTAAAACACTATTGTATTGTGCATGTTTTGTTTAACACGTACGTACCCGCTTCTCGTGATTCGGAATGATGCAGCGAACAAAGTTAGGGTTGGTGTTGCGCAGGGTTGCCATCAGCTTGGTGAGCGATTCTTTGTAGAGTTGCCCGACGGTACGAAACATGCCCTTTTTGGTTTTATACGCAGAGCCAAAAGCTGTCTCAGTCATCCCCGTGACCTGATCCAGACCCACGATACGGTCCACTGGGGAGAAGAAAAAAGAGAAGGATGTGAGCCAAAGTGAAGTCTTTAGCAGGGAAAGAAAAGACACAGTGAGAGTGCAGCAGCACAAGCTTTGTGGAACGAATGGTAAGAGATGCCATATAGGTAAGGCAGTCAGCATATTTAGACACTGCACAAGCCGTGAACTACAGCCACACACTTATATGGCAGGATATAGTAGTGCTGTGACAACTCCAAACTACCACACACCAGCAGATGCCTTTTGCTGCACTAGTTCCACTGTCTTTGATAACATTCTGCCCGTTACATTTGCAGTTAGTTGGTAAATGAAAGATCATTGGCTGACATTATTGATACACAAACTGATTTTGTGAAAAGTCTCAAAATGGGAAATAGCTCATAAAAGATATGTAAAAATGTTTGGTTGTAAAAATCCACTTAATGAATATGCTCAGGGATTAGGGACCAGAATGATCTCTTATTAGTCATTTGATTTTCATTAAGAAACGTCATTCAAGATTCAAGGACAAATGCAGGAAGATTAGATTACATCAGTTTAGATTTTTTAGCAATGTTTAAACTTCAGTTCTTTCCTCATAAATAACAGTATTAAAGGGTAAGAACACAAAATAGGAAGGACTCTTCTGAAAAGAATAAATGCCTAAGCTTCCTGTGTATGTACAATGGTTCAACTTCTCAGACATTATTATTAAAGGAGCTGATGCTTTTACATTATCCACAAAGACTTAATACTTCTCAAAATGAGATTATAAATAGTGCGCCAGCCACAAGCAAAACATTTGGTGCATAGCATGCATATGCTCTTGTTGAAAAAATTGTTAAATGAATGAAACACATTTCTGAAATATTTAAAAAACAATCAGAATATCAATTGAACTGCCCTTTCTAAGGCCCTGCTCACCCTCTTTTCTTTCATTTGTTTCCCATGACAGCACATGGGGACCTGGGACTGTGTGAAGAGCTTTATGTGCAAGATCTCACTCGATTTTCCATTTCTGATGGGGTTTTTACAGAAGAGGAGACCATGCCCCTGGGAGGTAAAGTACCTGCTCAAGTTATGCAGGTCTTACATGGATGCTGGGAGAAAGGTGGGTAAAAGCTGTTTAAGTCCAGGCCCAGGCATGTGTACTACACGTACGACTGCTTCCAAGGGAAGGCACCAGACTCAAGGGTTTGGATCAAAGCTACTCCTTTTACTTGCGTGTTGGAGTCTGCCTGCCTCAGAGACCACCATTCAAAGTAGCACCAAAGCCCACCTCTGCATGCCGCACGAAACAAAGATCTTCCCTTGACGTTGTATCTGCCCACTTCTCTTCTGTTGCCTCAGAGCCACGCTTCTGTCTAGAGTAGTTCACACACTGCACATCCTCTCCTACTCATCTCCCAGTGTGCAGCCAGTGGGCTTCCGGCCCCTCCTCCTCCTCTCCTGCCCAACACTACTCAGGCTGGTCAACTGCTAAAGCAAGAGATGCCACCCGTACTACTTTATTTGACCCTGGTAGGTTGACATGTGACATCTCAGTAGCATTCTAAAACCTCCCTCCACTCCTGGCTTTTCTAGGAACCCACCTTTTCCTGTACTCCCCCCGACCCCCCAGCCACTCTAGTTCCTGTTTCTGTTCCTTGATGGCTTCACTTCTTCTTTTCCTGCAACTTGTGGCACTCACTAGAGACCCAATCTTAACTCACCTGAAATCCTTCTAAAGTAAGGCAAGATGCAAGTGCAGACATTGGTCCTCTGCTTTTTTTAAGCCATAGTCTCATCCTGGGTGATCTCATTTATGACTCTAACTACATACACCTGATGACTACCTTGCATTGGCTGCTAAATACCTATAGTCTGCTCTCTATCTGGATGTCACCAAGGTGCCTTTGCCTTCTACAAATTCTTGTTTGATCCTACCATGTCTGCTTGACTCAACATTGCATCCTTGCTCCCAGTGTGATATCTAGCACTAACATGGTTGATACATACATGTCAGTGGACAAATGAAGTAAACATTAATCCATTTATAATGACAATAGCAAGAAATGCACTGAAAGAAAAGACAGGATGCTATGGGACAAATGAGTGGTTAGAGATCTCTCTGGGGAAATGCCATTCAATAACCAAAGAGTAAGAACGAGCCTGTTGGGGGAAGACCATTCCAGTCAGTGGAAACAGCACATGCCAAAGATCAGGGGCAGGAAGAAGCGAAGGAAGGCCCATGCCAAGGATGCAGTATGAGGAGGAGCTTATGACATTCAAGGCAGCTGCTGTGTGTGGAATGGCTTGGGGAGGAGCTTGGAGAGACCAGACAGGTGACCCTGCTGTAGCCCAGGCTCTAAGAGCTGATGGTGGCCTGAATTAGTGAGATTAGGGAGACGATGGATAGAGAAAGAAGCTTCAAGGGATATCTTATTAGAAGAATCAACTTGCTTTTACGAGTAACTCGATATGGAAAGTGAGGCAGAGGGGCATTTCAAGAACAACTCCTAGGATTCTGGCTTGAGCAACTGAGTGGCTGGTGGGGAGGATGGAAAGAGACATGGGTTTTGTGGCAGGAAGATGAGACCCAAACTCTATGTAAGTCTGGGATGCCTGTGAGACGTCCAAGTGGATAAGAGATGTCAAGTAGACAAGTGAATATTATAGTTGACTGCTAGGAAGAGAGGTCTGCACGAGAAAGGTGAATTTGGGAGTTGTCACCTTATAGACAGTATTTAGAGTTATGGAATTGGGTGAGCTACCTAGAGGGAGAACAGAGAGAGATGAAGGCCTGGGATCAGACCCAAGGAGTCTGGCAGAAGAGGAGTTGCTAGATATGGAGCATGAGGAGAGGGGACAGCAGGCCCATGTCCCACTCTTGAGCATGGACTCTACCCCCCACCATTCCCATCTTGTTCTTCCTCCTGGGTTTCCTACCCAATGAGACCACTGACCAAAACTGGTCAAGTCAAACCTCCAAATGTCTCCCATCTACCCCTCCTCTCCACTCCCTGGCTGGGCTCCCACACTTCCCCACCTGGCTCCCCTCCGGCCTCACTTTCCCATATCATCCTCTACCCTCACTGCTGCACGGTTCTTTCCATGTATACCTTTTTTCTCCCCAGCGTAATGATTAATAGCCATTTCTGAAAGACAAAACTAGGCATCAAATCCTTGAATTCCTCCCATAGCCTGTTGGGTATGGTCCACATGACTTAGCCCAGTTGTCCAGCACAGCGATGGATGTCACCCAGAGAGTCAGAAACACCTGCCACTCATGAGCGGGGCAATTTTGGGGCAAGTTACCCAACTTTTCCAAGCAGCAGTTTCGTCCTGTTGAAACAGAGCTAAGGAGACCTACTTCACAGAGTTGTGAGGTGCCAGAGAACATTCAAGTGCTCCACAAAGGCATCTCTCTTGCCCCTGAGCTTTCCACACATCCCTGAGCTCCAACTGTACAAACTAGCTGCATTTTCCCAAAGACACGATGGCTTCGCATTCCATCCTTTTCCCTCTGCCTGGAATGCCCACCCCCATCCTGTCAATTTGGCAAACTTGTAAATACTTCTAAGTCTCCATTCCTTTACCAAACTATAATTCCTTAGGGAAGTCTTAGGCTCCGGTTTATATCCTGTTTCCAAGGCCTAATAGGCCACTCCCTTCTCTAGGCTCAAATCACCTGGGAGGATCCCTGGGACCACATTTCCATGCTGTTCTGTTCATCTTCTCCACTGGACTAAGCTTCCATGGGAGACATTTTTCCAGCATCTCACACATTCAGGGTCCTGAGAACGTTCCCATGGTCTCTCTGGCCCCCCTGACCATGAGCAAAGATGATTTCCACTCCCCACCCTGTGTTGCCTGAGGCATGGTGCTGGTCATACAGTAACTATTTAATAAATATCTGCTGAAGAAACTTGTACGAAGTATACCAGTAGAACAAATTGCCACCACAACAAAAGGGAAAGAGCACCATGTTTACTTTTCAGGGATTCAATTACATTGGTTTTATCATACGTTAGCCTGCAAGAGCAGTCTTAACACATTAACTGCCATGTGAGATTATTCACATAGTTCTGAGCCTAGGCCTTGTGAAGCATATGTAACTTGCACATCTCCACCTTGGGAGCCATGTGAACTATTATTCAAGTTGCATACAACTCATACACAGAAAACAGTAAAAAATAATTTTCATTAAATTAGAAAGGATTGTGTTTTCAAGTTTTATCTATTTTTATAATGCCCAAGGAAAAATTTTTTATCTAGTGTGGGCAGTCAATGTATTAAACACAAGCTTTCAGTCAGTGCCTAACACTGTAGCTCTGAGTTTTTTGTTTATGTTTTTTAAATATAGTAACCACAAATATAATCATAATGAGCCTGTTTTCAAATTTAATTTTAATAAGGGTAATCCAAAGCTAAATATTTAGATTAAAAAATTAATGCTTTAGACTTTCGGTTCTTTTTTTCAATTCAAAATTTTAAACTCAGGGTTAGATTCCACCAATAAGCACAATTATCTTGTAGGTAAAAGAGAAACATTTTTGGAAATTCATCAAATAAAGTGGGCCACACTAATAACATTTGGTTTCACTCAAAAATCAAAATCCAGAAAAACATCTATTTTAAAAGAGCATTTTCTTGTTCAGATGGTTAGAGAAAGATAGAAAATGCAAAGACAAGACTCTAGCAACTCTTTGAAATGAGTACTGCTCCTTCTAAGACCTAATGTAGCTCCTAAATTTCCTCATGTCTTCCAGCCATGGCTTCAGGGTAAAAACTGGCTTTGTTGGGCCTATCGCAGTGGCTCACGCCTATAATCCTAGCAACTCTGGGAGGATTGTTTGAGCTCAGGAGTTTGAGACCAGCCTGAGCAAGAGCGAGACCCCGTCTCTACTAAAAAAATAGAAAGAAATTAATTGGCCAACTGAAAACATATAGAGAAAAAATTAGCTGGGCATGGTGGCACGTGGCTATAGTCACAGCTACTTAGGAGGCTGAGGCAGGAGGATTGCTTGAGTCCATGAGTTTGAGGTTGCTGTGAGCTAGGCTGATGCCATGGCACTCTAGCGATGGAAACAGAATGAGACTCTGTCTCCAAACAAACAAACAAACAAATAAAAAACAACTAGGCTTTTGTTTATTCTCCTGCTACAAACTTTTCTATCTGAAATGTCAGGAAAACTGAGTTAGGGTTACTGGTGAGAGTTTAAATTTATTATTTGGTTCTCAGAAGCCAGAAAGGAATGAAAAGTATTTTATACCATCACCTAATTTACTACTCTATAAAAATTTATTCAAATATTCAGAAATCAAATGAGTTCTTCTAAGGACATACTTATAATTTGAGGGAGAAAATGCAATGTATTGTCTATCTCATCGTAAAACTGCCATCAAAGTTTTATATAAGGAATGATATTGTCTGGTGCCAGAATTCTTAACTGGCCCTACTTCTAGGGGATAATCTAGGAGATAGGAGGTGCATAAGATTTTTGTTTCTCAAATCAGTGCATGGGCCAAAATATAGTGCTATTAAATTTAATTTGAAGCATTTAAGCTATCTTTAGAAACTCACACTAATTAATATAGCTAGAAACCAAAAAAGGGAAGAAACCTATTTAATGTAATTTTAAAGTGATGATTAAGAACTACATCACAAAATCCTTATAAAAGGTGGCCAGTATCTGGCACATAGCAACTTCTCAATACCCATTTAAACAAGTTAAGACAATTCTACTCTAACACAGATAAAAATGTTACTAACAATTAAAAACAGATTTGGAAACAAATATTTAACTGCAAAGAAACCATCTTAACATCCTATAGTATATCTCTGTAACATCCCTATTATATAGTACTGTATAACAAGTTTACGTAGTTATGTTACTGGTTGCTAGAACTAATCTGTAAATTGCTCTAGAGTATTTGGAAATTTTTAGAAAAATTCCAGGAAGTTCAGAGGTTGCCAGGAAGCATGTGATTTAAAGAGAAGGAATATTCCTTATATCCTAAACACTCGTTTCAAGCTGAACTTGAATGTTGCCTCCTTTACTTCCTCCGTTTCTACCTTCTTATCCCTTTGAGACGTCCAAGGTGTTTGGGCAAACAGGAAGCCCCTCTTCACCCTCAGAGATTCTCCTGTGCTTCTGCTCTTGCTCTCTCCCCTTGTCTGGTCCCGTGTCCTAACTCATTCTGAGACCAGGCAGCACAGCATGACTGCCTATCAGCTGAGCCTTGGGACACTGTGAATAACAGTGGACTCGCTGGCTTTCAAAATAGCAACACAGATATACCATCCTTTGCATATTTATGCTAATTACCAGCAAAGTAATCCACTCCAAGGAAATGTATATTTACAAATTACTGAACGTACGATGCTTTTCTTCAATCAAATATCTAATTATTCTATAGAATGTATATGGAGTCATTTTCTTTTTAAGATATCTCACTTGTTCTAAGATTTCATTTTACATTTGATTGCAATGTCCTAACTTTTTGAAATAAAAGCCCTATGTGCAACTTATGTAAAAAAAATAAATAAATAAAGCCTAGGAAATAAACATTTATCAAATTTCTCTATTTTTCATAATTACAACCGCAGCAGCTGTGAGGCCACAGCAAGTGCAACTCTAGAACACCATGTATTTGGGTACTTCCCATATGTCAGGCACAGGCTCACTCTACCTTGTTGATATCCACAATAACCCTGAGAACTATGTGTCATTGTCCCCACTTGACCTGAGGAACCAAAGTTGCAGTACAGCTAATGTTGCTTCTCCTTGAGTTCCCAACTATTGCTAAGACTCAAGATAAAAAACTATGAAGGAGTAGATACTGCCAACAACAAAAAACCTTCCTCCATGGGAAGTGACGACAATTTAAGCATATAAACTGTGTCAGACTCAAACCAGATTCTAAAATGGCACTTACGAGGTTATGACCAATGGATGTTATCTGTAAGGAGATTAAATGGCTACCATTTTATCAGTTATATTACTTGATTTTGAGTAAAGCTGCCTTTAATGTCTTACTAGACCAAAGGAAAAAAAAGAAAAAAGAAAAGACTGGTTCAAAGTTTTTCAAGTCAGAACATCCTGCCTTTTACGTTTTATAAGATAAAAGCCTGTGACCATGGGGAAGCTCTCCCCTGCTGGGAACCAAGCTCTCCTTGCTGATTCTCAGTTTCAAGTTAACGGCTGCCACCCCATTCCATATGCTACTTCTGTGAAAGACTGAAAAGGGGTGGGGGAATTTCTCTACCAACAATGGAAACTCGCTTCATGGGACTTCTCACATTTTTCCTTATTTTTTCTCTGTTGGTACCTTCAGACCCGGCTGCAATCGGGCACATGTGAAGGTTCAAAGAGCCTAAATCAGGGGTCCTCAAACTTTTTAAACAGGGGGCCAGTCCGCTGTTCCTTACACCATTAGAGGGCTGTTGGAGAGTGTGGCGCACATTCCACACGTGCGCACTGTGGGCCTGGGACGAGTAGGCTGCTAAGCAGGACAGGCAGCGGCAAAAACACCCGGCTGGCTGGATAAATGTCCTTGGCGGGCCACATGTGGCCCGTGGGCTGTAGTTTGAGGATGCCTGGCCTAAATGGTCCTGCTGTGTGAAGGAAACTGCAAGTGAAGATTACACATAATTGTCCTTCCAACATGATCTGGATCAGGTCTAAAGTCTTTGATGGTCCCTATTCTCTCAGACTCTTTAGTCCAAAAGCCCTGCTGTAACTTTGAGGCTGCAATCTCTCTTTGCTAATTTGTTCTGCATGCATTTTCCACCACTGCTTTATCTAGAAGTCCAGATTTGCCAAATGTATCTGGAAGAAAACCATCCTTGAGTTTATAGCAGAAACCTGTGTGACCTCTGTATTCTGCCTCTAGAAATCCTGTAACCTTCCCTTCTACATTTGTCCTTTGATGCTTTTGGAAACCTCGCTTTACCCCAGTCTCTCATTTTTATCCTCAAAACCCAGCATGCTCTTCTTGATGCAATTTTCCCAACATTATGAATATACTTAGAAGTAGGGGGCCCTTTTAGCTTTGTGTTATCTTCTTTAAAGAGTGGCTCGCTACATGTCGGCATGTCACAGGAAATCACAGTCTGGATCCCTGGAAACTCTTTTATCCACTGTCTTCCCAGAAATCACTGAAAATACTAAAGTTCCACATTTTTATTTTTAAACCCCTCACTCCTCCTTGGAGTGGTCTCTTGAATCCATAAACACATATTGCAGAGAAAAGATTTTGCTACAGAATTAATACACAATTTCAAAGACTATGTTTAGCCATGGTAGATGGATGGAGGCTCCAAGGGGAAGTAGAGAGAGAGATCCCTGATGCTTGGTTCAGCTGAGCAGCTCAACCAAGGGACACCTTACAGGGAGAGACAGAAGCAGGAGCATTTTCAGTGGCAAGGTGAGAATGTAGTGAGGCGGATGAGCTTACTCCTTGCTCGTTCATTAGGATGAAGTCACCTAAGGGTGGTTCTGTACTGGATCCTGCTGGTACAGAAAAATATACACCCCAAAGGCCCCAGTCCAGCAGGATAGAGAGTCTGCGTTTTAGGTGAGGGAAAGGCCATGCTGCTGCATCTGAGAACTGGGTGTGGCACTGCCACCCACCCATCCGTCGTTCTCTCACTCAATGACTTATTTACATTGTGCCTCACTTGTGCCGGATGCTGAAGAAATGACAGTGAGCAAAACCAGGCACTGGCCCTGCTCTCAAAGAGCTCACAGGCTGGAATTCTCTTCAAAGATCAGAAATCCAAAAGCATTACAGGGAACTGATCTAAAGAGGGTGCCCTACTTTGAGAGAACGTCTAAATGGTCAAGCACTAACCTTTTAACAGCACAAGTCCCAGGCAGACTAGAGCTGAAAACTACCTCTAAGCTCCTCTCTCTCTCTACTTCTTCAACATTGTCAGTTCTCCCCAAGGTCAGAGATGACTGAGATTTCTTCCTTTGGAGATCTGTATAATTTTCATTTCAGCTTATGCTGTCTTTGGCATATCTTTTCTCCCCTCTCCCCTCCTACCCAATGCTTGCAATCTACTTCTTTCCCAGTATATGAGCTAGAGTTGATGGCAGGAATCTTGAGCTGGATTAAAATAGGCATGGTCTTTTAACATTTTTAAAAATAAGTTTTGAAATGGATTTGGATCTCAGCATTATCATGTTCCAAAAATCGTAAAGTAAATTTCGTAAGATGAATTTGATTATCTTTGAATTTTGCTACTTGCCAATTTCATTAAACATTTGGGAGACTGGGTGGTCTTTATTTTATACTGAGCTTTGGGGGCCCTCTAGCCATGGCTAGGTGGTATTTTAAAACAGGGCTAAGGATTCAGATGACAAAGCCCGAACATTTGGAGCTTGATTTCAGGTTTAATGTATAAATTCTGACAATACTCCACTCTTTCTTAGTCTCGACTTGCACATGTCAAGCCTTGTAGGTAGTTTCAGTGTCTTTAGTTCAAAAGAAAAGGCCAAATAGCCAGATATGCATATAAATCCCAAAAGGGATATATAATGATGAGACCAACACACCTGAGATAAATAATGTAATTATTTGTTCACAAAATGTTAGTGACTAAAATAAAACCAAAACAAAACAAATCAAAAAAACTCCTCCTCGGAATTCCTTGGAGTTGAAAATTTAAAGGTGACTCAAAGACATAGGAGATGTCATTTAGCAGATAAATTCCTAACAATTCCCTTAGAGGACTGTGTATCAAAATGGCACTATTGGAAAAGGTAATGATATACCTTTTAATATGCGGTGCTGTAAGTGCTATGCATAAAATAAGAAGCAATGTGTAGGCAGCAGCAATTCAATTGCTTATGCACTCAAACAGTTGCCTTGAAGTATAATAAAACTGAGCATGAAATGAAAGGTTCATGCAGACCTATGAGCAAAACAAAAACAGAAACCCCAAACCAACCCTCCCTCCCCGCCACCCTGCCAGCCCCTCCCACATATTTTTTCCTGTGGGCTTAAAACCCTTCTGTTTTGGAAGACCTACAGGCTTTATACATTCACCTGGTGGCTCATGAAGACCAGAAACACTGTCATAGAAAGAAGCTCTCTGAATATTCTGAATCTCTAAAGCAGAGAAACAGCAAAAACAGGACAGAAGAGCAAATACACAAACACTTCAGTTAGTGTGAAAGACATTTGACAGCACAAGTCAACTTTGAAATTGGGCTACAAAAGGAGCTAGTCCAGGGCAGATCCCATGCAAACATTACTGCTTAGAGAATTTGCACATTTGGACAAAGTTCTTTATAAAGTAAATTAATGCTGAATCCAAAGAGCATATTCCCAACTCCAGGTGTGAGCATTATTATATTGTATCAATGCTAAATGATTGCCCCATGTAAATGCAGGATGACATTTAAGAATAATAAGGTACTATTTGAGCTGTCTATCATAAAAATATCTTATAATTAGTAAATCAGGACAAGATTGCAGTTAAGTTTGAACACTATAGCAAATGTAAATATTAGTGGCTTTTATTGTCAAAAATTATACTACTGTGTAATTTTACTTTCAATATAGATTTTTTGGAAATATACTTTACTTTGAATACAAATTACTAAAAGGTAACTACCACTAAGGAAAACAAAATTCAAATTCTGTTGTAGCAAAGGTTAAAATAATTTCAAATCATAAGATTACACTTATTGATCATACGGTTACTCATGAAAAGATCCTAGAGGCACATTTACATGGAAAATGCAATCTTTAGTTTTTTTCTGCATATAAGCCTTAAGAAGTGGCAAGAAGTCCTAAATTGGTAAAGAGATCTCAAAACAACATCTTTTAGCAAAAAGTAGGGCACTATGAATCTCTAGGGCAGGGCTGCCACCAATACATCTTATTTTTCTTGGTTTGGCCTTGAGAAAACTCTAAACCCTAACCAAAACTCTATTTTCATACGAAATGTTTTATACTCAAGGTATTGTACATTCACAGGCAAACTATATTCATATATAATATATTAAAATTTATTGATTCATGGTCATGACATTTATGCTTTTTGCATTTAAGTGGCAATAAAAAGAGGGAAATAATGTTTTTCCATGGCTATTTTCTTTTCTTTTTCCATGGCTTTTTCTCTTTTAGAGAAAAAGCTCCTCTAATCCCAAGAGATCTCTGTATCCAGAGTGAGCAGTGATAAATTCTCCACCTTAGAACCTTCTTCAAACTTCTGTGCCTGCCACTGACTTTATGTGTGAGACACGCAATCCTCAAGATCGGACAAATGTGGTACCACCTCTCGCTGCCCCTTGCCCTGAAGAATAGCATCCCCCAATAGCGAGTGACCTCCAAGATCTTCTCTGTCACTCAGACTAAACTAACTGTCCAACTAAGCTGATGGATGACAGGACTTCATGCAAATATTACAGTAGCACTATCAGGAGAGGAAACATGTAGGTTTATTCCAGAGCAGAAGCTAGCAGAGCCAAAGCAAACCTGGGGTAGAGAAGATTTCCTGTGGCTTATTTTGACAAGAGTGGCCAAACCCACTCCCAAACTGTCTATCTGTAGGAAGGGAAGGGCTGGAAACAGGGCCGTGCAAACCGTGCAGCTGTGGGGTCAGAGCTATAGACCAAGTATGGATGAACACGGCTCTCGCCAGGGCTGAAGGAACTGAGCAAGGCTACGAGAATTTCCTCTAAGCATTCCTATAATCAAGGAAATAACTTTCCAGTTATCTCTTAAGTAGAAAACACAAAAAGCAGGTAAGGAATCTCCTAACACGGTCCTACCTGTAAGATATCTCCTCTGTTGTTTGTAATTTGCAGTGATCATTCCAGCCTCCCACCTCCCCCGTGCCTGCTAAATCTCACACCCATAAAATTTTGGACCCATTGTTGCCAAAAGCCCTCTCCAGCAGGCGGAGATGGTGAGACCTGAAGTTAAGGGAGCAGAATGGAAACAGGAAGCCCAGGAAGCTGGGAGCCAAGATAAAGACTAGCTGAGCCCTGTTACCACGTCTGTGTATATCCTGCTTTCTCAACCGGATTAGAGAGTCTTAAAGGGCAGGGGCATGCCTTTCATTGCTTCCGGAGCTCTCACAGATTACCCTGGGAGGCACATACTTGTAGTTGTATGAATGGGTCAAGGGCTGAAGAGGTGTTTCCAACACCGTTTTTGGTGAAGGAGTACACAAATAAGAGTCAAAAAGGGGTTCATGATGTCAGAACAAGTATGTAATAATGTTCTTTCTTATAAAGTATTCCCCAGATATCTGCTTCTCTTCAAAATGAAAAGAAAACTACTTTTTGAGGCTTCCACAGGGAAAACTCCCCACTCCTCTGTTCCTTTCCCCAGCCATTCCCTCCACGCCCACCACCATCCTGTTACCTCACACTCAACCCCCAAATGCAGGCTCTTTCACCCCAATCTATCTGACCAGCTCAGACTGTGTCACTGACTGGGCTCACAAACCTTCTGATGCTCTTTAATCAATGAAGTTTCAAGTCCAAACCCCACCGGGATGGGCCATCGGTGTTCTCGAGTCTGGTCTCAGCCTACCACCCTGCCTTCTCTAAAGCCACATGGAACACTCCTCCTGAGCTATAACCACGCTGCACCCCTTCTTCCCCACGCCAACCTCACCTCTACAAATGCCAATGCCAGATACTCATCCCTAGACGAGTTAGTTCACATAAACTTTCTTACCCACAAATGCTTAAGGTGTAATCACGCCTTAAATGCTCATAAATGAGTGATGAAAACTCTGCCTGCCACTCAGTAAGTGCTCGGTAAATGTTAGCTTTCATTGTTTAATCAACAGATTATTATTATTATCCTTTAAGGACATGGAAAATTGCATCCTCCTCCATGACATTTTACCTTAGCACCCCAGGAGGGGCAGTCCCTTCCTCTGTTGCACATCGCTAAAAACTCATTCTGTACCATTCACAAGGCATTTATCACAGATACTCTGGTACTCAACAGTTTGCATACTGATCTCACTTCCTCTGCTGTGTTCTAAGACCTTACGAGGGTGCCTAGAGGAGGGGCCGAACATGAGGTGACTTTGTAACTTCGTCACAACCAAAGTGATTCCTGGAGGAATGCAGATGCTGAAGACTGCAGCATTACCCCCTCTTCCTTCTGAGGCTTTTCCCACCCACATCTCCGACTCACCAGTGCCAGTCTTTCCAGCATTGTGGACCCTGTGACAACCTGAGCTCAGCCTTTCTTTCTGCTCTCGTTCCAGTTTCTCACAGCCCACTCTGATACTGCCTCCAACAGGGAAAGGGGCAGCTCATCTGTGAGGGCACCACAGATTCTCTTCCTGGTACTCACAGAGCATCCCTCAGCTGACTAGGTCATTGGAAGTGACTCTGTCCACTCAGCTAGTTGGAGATTTTCATTAAAAGGTACAAAGGGCTGGGCATGGTGGCTCACGGCTGTAATCCTAGCACTCTGGGAGGCCGAGGTAGGAGGATCGTTTGAGCCCAGGAGTCCAAGATCAGTTTGAGCAAGACTGAGACCCTGTCTCTACCAAAAACATAGAAATAAATTAGCTGAACAACTAAAAAAAAAAAAAAAAAAAATATATATATATGTATTAGCCAGGCATGGTGGCGCATGCCTGTAGCCCCAGCTACTCGGGAGGGTAAGGCAGGAGGATCGCTTAAGCCCAGGAGTTTGAGGTTGCTGTGAGCCAGGCTGACGCCACGGCACTCACTTTAGCCTGGGCAACAGAGCGAGACTCTGTCTCAAAAAAAAAAAAAAAAGAATAAAAGGTACAAAGATGAAAAGCTTCTGCTTTACTTGTGGGAAAGCTAACCTTTTCGCTAATCCCCTCTTTTAAATGGTCTCAGGCGCATAGTCCCTTCCCAGGATGCACGTGTGCCTGTGTTCAGTGCACGCACCCTGTAGGCTCCTCACACTCTTGTGTGACCTGACAGATGAGGTTTATATGGTCACCTTTGCCCCTACTCTTTCTCCATGTCCATTCTTTTCTTTTTATCTCCCTCCCTTTGCCCCAATCGCCCCAGCCCCCTTCTTTAATGCTTTCTGTGCTTCTCTCTTTCTAACTCTGAGAAAAGAGCTAGGTTATAAGGCTTGAGATGCTCTAGAGAAAGCAGACATGAGCCAGGTGACTGACAGGCCGAGCCTTAGGGTCAAGGCTGCAGCAAGGGCAGATCCAGAGCTAAGGTCCTGCATGGACTGAGGCTAAGCAAAGGGGTGAGACAGAGCCAGGATGAGAAGGAGCAGGGGAGCTCAGCCCTAGGAGAAGACACTGGGCCCTATGATGCATAAAGACACACAGACATTTTATTTTGCTAATATTAGTAAAATTTTCTAGTCTACAATAAAAAAAAAATCACCAAAAATCTTTATCTGAGGTTCATATAAACAAAAGAACTATGAAGACTGATGGAAATAAAAGCAATTGATCTGTATGTAGGGTGTCTGAGAATTTATTTACTGGCCACTTTGCTGAGCGGGGGAGCAGCACTGGGGCAGGATGCGGTTCAGCAGACCTGTGTACACACGGGCAGAGGGGAACGTGCGGGGCTTCTTGGGTCTTGTGTCCCAATGCCCTCAGATTGTAACTGAGTGGGACTGAGGCATACGCGTACTTCTTTGTGGCTCTGGGCCTAGAATGTTTCCGCACTCCCCACAGTATCTGACCAAGAAGGCAGATGTCTTGTTATTCTTTTCCTAACCCAAGTATTCTTCAAATGGATAAGTTCTAATAGAACGGCAGCCCTGCTCTAGGGAAAGATTTTAAAGTAAAAAGTATATATACATATATGTATACGAACCACATATAAACCTTTATTATAAAAGATTCCAGCGAAGATTAATGATAAACATAAGCACTGTCTTACCATCCTTCCAAAGCTCTGCCACAAATCTGTCTGAGGACTGGTGCAAAAGGGTGGCCACGTTGTCGTTCAGAGGGTCCATGTTCTTCATCAGCCACTCATCCGCCTTATAGTCCACCTGTCCCATACCAGAGCCAAATGTAGTGAAATGGAAAACAAAACCAAACACAAAAACCACTTTAAGCCTTTACCAAAAACTTTCATAGAACAATCAAAAAAAAAAAAAGGGTCGTCTCAAAGATGATGCATTTGTAATACATACTATATTTAAATGTTTATAAATGTTTATCAGCACCTTTGTTACACCTTCATAAAACACAGCAAAATTTCGAACAGAGCAATTATAATCAAGTTATTCAACATAAGGCCTCTTACCTTCCCTGCATAATGTATAATGCAAAAATCAGCTTTGTCTTTCAATTGCCGAGGTTTCTGGAATTTTGAGTGGGAACCTTGCTCTTGAACCAGTTTTTCAACAAACGTTTTATCTGTAGCTTTAGGGAACCAGCACTCTTCATCCAAAAGGGCCAGCACACCCGGCGGGTTTGCCTGATAATGAGAGCCAGTGAGAATTGACAAGGTTGCATGTCATTTTAATACCACTGGGTTTGGCAGCTTAACTTTCTAAACGATTAGAGTTTTAAGAGGATCCACGGAAAACAAATTGCTAGGATGGAAGGTAATATCTAACCCATAACAAATTTATAATCCAAACACTGAGATCTAAAACTGCTGAAAAAGTACGGGCAAGAAAATGGATGTTATCTTGTAAACTTACAAGTACTCTATATAAACTGTAAATACACTAATTCCAAGTAGATGACCCTCAAAAAGCAGCAAATAAAAGAAGCCAGGAAGGAACTGGGGGATAGAGAGATGAAATTGAATGTTTATATACCATGACTGGGTAGATAAATTTTGTTTTTTGGAAACAGGGTTTCCTTCTGTCACCCAGGCTATAACACACTAAGTATGTACCACCATACCTGGCTAATTTCTTCACAAATTTTTTGTAGAGAGACAGGGTCTCTCTGTTTTGCTCAGGCTAGTCTTGAACTCCTGGCTTGAAGGCATCCTCTTGCCTTGGCCCAAAGTGCTGGGACTACAGGTGTGAGCCACCACACCCACCCGGGCTGGATAAATTATTATAAAACCTCAACTAACTGAAATGCTTTAGATATTTTATATCCTAATCAATTTAATTTTCTGTTTAAATAAACAGATGATGATTACATAAAATAGACCCGTGCTTATTAATTGCTTTGTGTATTTGTTTTAACATTTTAGGTCACCTGATTATTAGTTTGTTGAAAAATGGCCTAGATGGGTCAGGGTGCAAGATCCTGTCTCTACAAAAAAAAATTAGCCAGACTTGGTGGTGTGCACCTGTAGTCCTAGCTACTCGGGAGGCTGAGGCAGGAGGATTGCTTGAGTCTAGGAGTTTGGAGCTGCAGTGAACTATGATTGTGCCACTGCACTCCAGCCAGGGCGACAGAGTGGGATCCTGTCTCAAAATATAAATAAATAAATAAAAATAAAAAATAAATGCCTAGATGAATCCATAGAGACAGAAGGTAGATAGATTAGTGGTGGCCAGGTTTTGACAGGAGGGAAATGGGAGTGACTACTAATGGGTACAAGGTTTCTTCTTGTTGGTATCATTACAATGTGGTAGATATACTAAAAACCGCGAATTATAGCAGTAAAAGGTAGATTTTATGGAATGTGAATTATGTCTCAAATTTTTAAAAAGGCTTAGAGCTCGACGTTCTCTCTGGAATGATTTCTTTTTGGAGGTAAGTGACATATGAAATATCTAAATAGTGATAGTCTTATTTTATAGCGCTTCTCAGTCATCATTTATCATCACACTGCAAATATGGGAAGTGTGTGATACAAGGCTAAGCTTGTACCAATTTTAGTGCACACATACAAATCGGCTTTTTGAATCTCTAGGATCAGTTTTCTTCAACTCACAAGACCTTTATATTTACTAGGAAAGAGCTGGCTATATATATAAATACTGTTTTAAAAGTAACTAGAGGCCGGGCACAGTGGCTCACGCCTGTAATCCTAGCACTCTGGGAGACTGAGGCGGGAGGATCGCTCAAGGTCAGGAGTTTGAAACCAGCCTGAGCAAGAGCGAGACCCCGTCTCTACTAAAAATAGAAAGAAATTAATTGACCAACTAATATATATAGAAAAAATTAGCCGGGCATGGTGGCATATGCTTGTAGTCCCAGCTACTCGGGAGGCTGAGGTAGAAGGATTGCTTGAGCCCTGGAGATTGAGGTTGCTGTGAGCTAGGCTGATGCCATGGCACTCACTCTAGCCTGGGCAACAAAGCGAGACTCTGTCTCAAAAAATAAATAAATAAATAAATAAAAGTAACTAGAAGTTATAGTTAAATATAAATGAAACAATGTAATAATGTGGCCAGGAAAGGTGATGGTTGATTTGAATGTCAAGGTGGAACTTTAGAGAACCTTCTGCAATCGAGACCCTTACTCCATGACTCCTTCACCTGCATGAATTTACGGGGTTTCATGTCAGCTAAAAGAAGAGACTATTCAGAGGCAACTAGGATTATGTAATCCTAGGGTAGCTAGGGCTTAGTGTGACAGGTAACTCAATCCACCTCTATCATCTAATAACTCTTAGAAATGAACGTCCATGTTAATATTAAGATAACTAAAACATCCATCTTTTTACCATAATTTTATATTTTTAATCCCTCTTAATTAAAAATTCCTGAATTCTGACATAGGATCTCAAATACAATTTTTTCTAAATGACTCAGTAATAGCATGATTATGAATATCTAGTATTATGTCTCCTTTTTATTTTTTCCAATTTGTCCTTCAAGGTCAGGATCTCTGTTATCCCTTCTTTCAATTAGGTATTTCTTCAGAGCTGTAAGTTTGGGAGCCTGTTTCTGTGTAATGGTCACGGGTTTTGTGAACAGCTTTTGAACTCAGAGCTCGCCGGCTGCCACCACCAAGCTAGGCAGGGGTTGGGTCTGTGAGATGAAGTAAGGCAGGAAGTACCACCACAGAGCATCACGTAGAGCCAGTGCTGTGGAACCAATGAACCAACCACTATATTCTGTTCTGACTTTGAGATCAAGTCCTTGAGGACCAGGGCGCCTCCATACCCCCATGGCGCCTCCAGTCTGCATTTCCAGGATATAATTGAGGATTTCATAAGTTCTTTCTATCTTAATCTTATCCTAATCCAACGACATTTACATTTAATGTCTATAAAATAACTGAAAACATAGACATCAAACCCTTTCTGCCTCATATATTTTTGCAACATTTCAAATTAAGGTTGAAATATTTAATTACTTTCCCCTATCACTTTCATTTTTAAAGTTATTTCATGAGAGTGAAGGAAAATATGAAAAAATAGTATATAAAGTATTTCGTTCTAGAGGGATAAAGCAAAAGAAATGCAATTAAGTAACATTAAGAAGAATGTATATTTGTAAGACTCATTTAAGGGTCACAAAACCATTAGATTTAAAAACCCTCTAAAAACATTTAAAAAATTAGGGTTGGTAATTTTTCATTTGGAAGAGTTTCAGCACAATTACTCCTACAGAGAGATTGATCTAGCAAAATGTTATGAGTTCTCATCCACCCTAAAACATAAGTGCAGGTACATAATCACTACATTCTTAAAACTGAGGTCTTCCAGTGTCATATGGATCCATACAAATGAGCACATCAAATAACATATCATATAGTCATCAATAGTACCATGTGACATATTCTATTTTCTTATTTATATAAATTCCCAAACACAATTTTTTTTTGGACAACAAAGCAGCAATGAAATGTATTCATGTGCTTGTGTATGCATGAAAATTAACTGGAAGTTACTACAAGTGTGTCTTGAATCTTACCCCTAAATGATGCTGCAAGGTACACAGAAGCAACTATCTTCACAATTATAGGTGATTTGAGATTTTGCTCTAAACATGCAGCTACAGTGCCTTAAAAGGTAAAATGATTTCTTAAGTATAAGCCAATGGAAATTACCTGTTGCTTTATACCCAAATTTCTAATGTGCTAGAATTATCTCTAACAGGAGCAAAAGTCTTCTAGCTTTTTCCCCCCTTCCTGACTTGTCAGTACTCCTTCTGACTACAGGTACTGTAACAGCCAAGTTCTCTAGACATGAGACCTTCAACACCCTCAAACACGACAACACAGGTGGCAACCAGACACCAAATAGCAACAAAAAACTGCTTCAAAGCCTGCTGTAAATCCAGGAGACACTTCTGAGCTGCCGTTAAAACACACCTACTTAACTAGTGTTGGAACTTTATGTAAATTACAGGTATCAATCAATGCTCAATTACTATGTTTTAGTTTTTCCTATATTTTGGCAGATAGCAAAATAAAATAAGTGAAGCTAATATGCTAACTGCCACAGAATACACAGTCAAATCATCAATATTTGTTTGAGATCGATCACATGGAGTTGAGTTTCAAAAGTGAATGAGTTACATACTCAAAACTTAAAAGTGAATGAGTTCTCTATTTTTACATAACACTAACCCAACAAGAAAATAATTTCTGATACTTTCTAAGATTGCCATTAAAAATACATACCCCAAAAGACCCCCCCTCAAAACTGAAACTTCAAATTAAAAAAAAAAGAATCTGCCACAATAAAAACATCTTTGTGCTTCTACAAGAGAAAGCTTTAGTTATTTGAAAAATGGATTTACATGACATGTCCTGTTCTCAGCTAAATGAAGTGTCCCTATATTACCAAGGAAGTGTGCCAGTCGCTCTGTACCCCTTCATAGGTGTGTGCAAACGCCACAACCACAGGGGCATCTGCAGTCTGTGTGGGCAGAGTCCCCTATCCAGTGTTTCCACACATGCAGGGGCAGGAAAAAAGCTGCAAGGAGAGCTAAAGAAGGGATTTATTGAAATGTATCCTGAAACTCTTTTATCAGATTATCACCTTCCTAGAAAATTTAGATTAGAAAATTATTTTAACACTAATTAGACTGAATAATTTCTGACTCAGATTATGCTATTTCTGCTTAAACAGAAACTGAAAGCCAAAGAGCAAATAAACTCTCTTACGGGTCTCTCTATCAGGTCAATGCACGGCTGCAGATCTAGCCCAAAATCGATGAAGTTCCACTCAATGCCTTCACGCTGGTATTCCTCTTGTTCTAGGATAAACATGGTGTGGTTGAACAGCTGTTGCAGCTTCTCATTGGTGTAGTTGATACAAAGTTGTTCAAAGGAGTTCAGCTATAAATGTAGAAAGAATAATTTTCCAAACATAGGGAGGGGGAGGGAAAACAGGAATAATTAGCCATCTAGTTATCAAAACCAGTTCATTAAAAATTATTAATTAGGTTTGAAGTATAGTATTGCTTTTATCTAATGATAGAAACTAAACCGAGGGGGCTGGTTTCTCAATCTCTCTCTCTCTCTCTCTCACACACACACACAGACACACACAGACTCGGACAGCCTTTTTGAAAAGGTAAAGAGAAATACTTAATAACAATACTATATTTATGGCCACATTACTGAACTGCTAAAATAAAAAAATAATAAGCTTAACTTAGTATGCTAACTGAATGCTCTACAAATGAAACAATTCAGATCTTATTAGTGAATGGTTAAGGAATAAAAATGAAAAAAATGAGACACAAAATAACAAAAAGAAGAAAAATGAGGAGACTTTGGAAGGCCAGTGGCAAAGCGAGGTGAGCAGGTAATGGGTGAGCATGTCTGGGCTGGGAAAATCTAGAATGTGTGTGGCTCTGTCCCACTTTACTCTCTGCTGAGACCACTGGCTCCAGAACGAGGTATGAAAAGAATCATCTTTAGTTCATTCGATTGTTTTTGGGAGCTTACCTGGCCTGACGCACAGAGTGGGCTTAGTAAGTGTGAGGCTCTGCATTGCTTTTGTATGCATTCCCTTCTCTTATCAAATGTCTCACCTTTGTCCATACCAAAAATGATACTGCACT